AAAAATTAAATCACACTACGATATTTAATTTGCAAATCTAGCATTTTTTCCGTCGAGGTAAAGTTTGCCGATTTATTGCTAGTGTTTATGTTAACCCACAGAGCTGAAAAAAATCACAGCCTCCTAAATGTATTTGAAGTTTGTTATTTCATCAAAATTTTGGTCAGAAACAGTGCGGAACATACCTTTTAAAAATTAATAATAAAACACCTACGTATTCTGCTCGATAGCAGGTTAGGAACTGGTACCCAAAATGTTGCGTGGTGACTGATATTCCAGAAGTAAAATATCGTCCCGATGATATTATTACTTGCGGAAATCTGCGAGGACAAAAAGTTGTCACATAAAAGGATTCGTTTATGGCGGAAGATAATATTTGGAAAATATTTATCACATGAGAATGTCTAGATTGAAGAGTAGAAGGATTATTTGAAATTTTATTGAACTCAAAATCGACCAGTCTTCCCTCTAAATCCTGGTAGCACCAACCAGTAGTAGCATGAACGTTTGGGCAGTTAGGATCATGTTACTTTGGCTCCGCCGTTTACACCACAAACTTATATAGACTATATACTTATATAGATTATAGACCTGCATGTAACCTTCCGTTGTGGGAAACTAAGCACAGACTTTAATTGCATCCCTGTTCTCATATGAGATAAAAAGCACGGACATTTTATAGAAAAATGCCGACGAAAGGGTAACCTTTCCTATTCTTCTTCTATTTACAAAAGTGCTAACGAGTATTAAAACAATATTCTCATCTACTAGGTAATACCCGGAATCGGGATAAAATAGGTGACCTTCAGTGGCCAAAACAATCCAGTAATTTAAATTCAAGAACGTATACGGGTCTTTCTCAGCGAGCAAGAAGTTAAAGAGAAAGATTGCAACTTTGCAGTACGAAAGTTGTCTTGATCTCGATATACCGATCTGTATCGGATAATAGTCAAACTTTGCTGCGTTCATAATTTTTATGTGGAAGAAAATATTAAACCAATCAATATTAATGACTAGTTCATCGTGTAGTATTTGAATATCGCAAGTTCCCAAGTTTTTGAGCCGCATGTCAAACACGGGTAGAATATCCGAGCCCAAACTACTGGTAGGTTAGCATTGAACTAAATAAAACTGAAAGATTGGAAACCAATATAAATTTACTTTCATTTTGAGTCTCTTCAAGGCGACAAAATGAATTTATAAACGATTGGTTGACCAATGGTGTTGTTAATACATGGACGGAATTATGTAGGGCGCATCTTTGAACGTATTTTTTTCATATTATTTACTACTAGAAGTACCGTAAAAACTCAAATAGTAGCCGTTGCTCTAATAGTAGCCGTGCTCAAATAGTAGCCGTGTCAATTTTCAAAATTTTGTAAATAGTAACCGTGCTCAATTAGTAGCCCTGCTCAAATTGTAGCCCTACCCAAATAGTAGCCTTATTCGAATAGACGCATCTCTATTTCGATACAACCACATTTATTGCCAGTTCATTAAGATAATTAAATTATAATTCAATATAATCGCAGTTGTACACCATCGAAGCGATGAGTCGATGGCAAAACACAACTTTAGCTCATTGAAGGAATCATTGAAGGGCGGGTCGAGCAGATTAATATTCTAATAGACTACGACTCTAAAGGCAAAATTGGTGTTGTTCTTAAAATTTAATTTGAGCTTGATTAAGAAAATTAAAAATCATGGTAGTATGCAAATAGTAGCCGAATCTATCTTCATAATTTTAGAAATAGTGACCTTGCCCAAATAGTAGCCTTGCTCAAATAGTAGCCGGGTCTCAGCCACCGATTTTATAAATATTAGCCCCCGGCTACTATTTGAGTTTTTACGGTAACTCAATTTTCTGAAAAAAACTCTTTTACAGCTAGTAAATATATTACCTGATATATTTTCCAAACTCCTAGTACAAAAGTAAACCTTGCATTAGTTGCTACAAATTCAAAGTTTGCAACCAAATTAGAATTTTAATTGTAGATATGTATGCAAATATTTTAGCCAACTGATGTATTTTGGTATGAATTGCAATTCCAATATCGTATGCGGTTAATTACATATTTTTTTACATAACACATCTATGCCATTTGGCATACTTCCCAATTATGTAAAAAGTAAGTTTGCATAATGCAACTGAATTTCAGTTGTGACTTGGCTTTCATACCAAAATTTCATACATAATATTTGTCATAATGAACCTGCATCTATAATGTGTACGTAAGGTATGTATGTATACATAGTCCGACCATAAGTTCCCGTGAATGCATTTCCGGTGATAAAGCCCAAAGTATTAGAGCTATCTGATAGAAATTTTTGTGGATGAACAAGGTATTAATCTTGTTTAGAAATCATAACTTCGTTTTCATAATTTCCTCCACGGGCTTGTACACAAGACATAAGTCGTGGCGAAAACTGCTCGATCGCGGCACGCACGGATTTCCAGGGAAAAGCCCCAGATCTTCAGTAAGTGCGACCTCAGCCCTTCCACACTTGGGTGAAATTTAGAGCATACTTGTACCTATAATTTTCACCACCAGTCATAATTTAGGGGACTAAGGTCTGCAGATACTGAGCACCGTTCTACGGATGAAAAAAAGTCATGAAAATTCGTCTGAAGCCAGTTTTGGACAATTTTGCACCTTGCGCATGAGCAGATTCTTGTTGAAAGGTCCAATGGCGATTTTCGGAGGGTCCAGGGTTCAGGTTATTAACGTTTGTCTCTAGGACACTCTGAAAATAATTCTTGGCTTCAACTTGTACCCTTTGCGGTAAAAAACAGAGATTTCATTTCTCCAGCCAACTTGCTCCCATTCACACCACGGTGATGACTTCGTATTGACTTCCGCATACTTAAACGGATGTCAGACTTCTGTACAACAAATATCTGGCCTTTTTTTCTATTAAATTTTTTGCCAACGGTGAAAAGTCTGAAATACTTTTTGCACGAAAATTGGCGCGTACCACGATCAACCTGTGGCCGTCACGAGTTATGTCTTGTCTAATTGCTCGTGGACGAAATCTTGACAAAGAAGTTATGATTTCTAAACAATATTAATACCTTCTTAATCCATAAAAATTTCGTACAGATAGCTCTAATACTTTGGGATTTATTACCGGAAATGCATTCACGAGAACTTATGACCCCACTATGTATATAATGAACCTAATGCAGATACGTAAGTAAAACAGGGGGAATCAGAGAAAATTTTATCTTAACATAGATTGCCGTTTAGATTACTAGCGTTCTGTTGGTTTATGTATGCTTGAATTTGGTCAATGATGACTTTTCGTTTATTATGTAAAATTAAGTTTAGGGAGCGTCCATAAATCACGTGATCGATTTTTTGACAATTTTGACCCCCTCCCCCCCCCTTGGTGACCAATGGTGATAAATTCATTACCCCCCCCCCCCCCGCGGTCACATGACAGCATACCCATTAAACCTATTTTTCGCCATATGCGATTTTTTGTTTCGGATTTTTTTTCGCAAAAAGTTTTTTCGCCAAACTGACCTATTTCCGACAGGAAAACACATGACACAAATTAACCCAAAAATAATATTCCTGGGCCATATCAAATCCGTAGTTAAATTAAATTTTAAAATTATTGAAAGAACTATTTAATACTAATCAGTAAGTATATTGAGTAATTCAACATTCTTACTTCTTAAGGACAACTGCGTAAACTTATTATCTGAAAGAATAATGAGAGAATAATAATTCTATTAATGTGCACTGAAATTTGGGAGAGTGGTATATATATGCAAATCAGACCTACATAAGATTGTCAAGTAAAAATTAAAAAATATGCCGTATTCGAATTTAAGATAAAAGAGATTAACGATTAAGTAAATACATATTATGAAGTTTAATATTTACATCCGAAGTTAAAAGAAAATTTTTCGTGGCATGTCACGTGACTGGCGGCCATTACCCCCCCCCCCCCCCACCCTTGGTGATAATAGGTGACAAATTTCAGACCCCTCCCCCCCCCTCTGATCGATCACGTGATTTATGGACGCTCCCTTATGCAGAGGGATAACTTATGTTAAGGGGTGCGTATACAGTAAATATTACACAATAAGTGTATTGTGTAAAAGAATATTATGCAATTGCACATGGAGCCGCCCAATATTTAGTATTATTGTATTTAAATGAGAATCTTGCTTGGATATGTATGAATACTATATTTACGGGGCCGCTCATAAATTACGTAATGTGGAAAGCGTTATTTCACAGACCCCTGCCTCCCCCTTGAAATTTTGTAACATAGCCACGATATCATTGGAACCCTCTCGCGATACTATAGAATTTATGGACCACCCTTGCCAAGATTTGCAGAAGGTTCTGCGTCGAACTTAAATTTAGACAGGATTATCCTCTTGGAATACTTACGTGGAGTTCGTCCAAATCAATAAATTGTAAATCCGATGGTCCAATCGTATACAGGATGCCGTCCAACTAAACTAATTAGAAGTTCATGTGTGGGCTCCATTTCTTAACATATATTTTAGGTACTTATTTATATAGAAATCAATGACAGGATGTAGTAAGTAAGTAAGGTTTAAGTAGGTTTATTACTGTGTTAAAATATGAATCATTACAGATTATTTCAAATATTGAACACAGGTTGCAATAACTCAAAAAACTGAAGGGGTTCAGTGTTGCATACGTTTGTCAGATGTAAATATGGATTTGATTACGAAGGATTTTTATTAGTTCGTTAGGTACGTCTTTTACATATAATAAATTCGAATCTAAATGCATGTGTCAATTAAATGCATAATTACGTAGTTTGTTTCTGTACACACGATATGTATGTACATAGATATCATTTTTTAGCTTTATCGGGTCGGTTAAATACTTTCGTAAAATACATAAAAGAAAACTAACAAACAAACCTTTGTAGCTTGTGATTAATAAATTTCTCTTTTATTTCATATATTTCCTATGTTTATTAAATGTCTACAGCGTAACTCAGAGTAAAGAAAGTCGAGTTTCGAATAGCGCGGAAATTCAAAATACTTACAAGGGATGCAGTCAGACCTAGCGACAAGGGCGGAGGTCATAAAGAGTCCAACGAGAAATATTGTGCATATGTAAGTTGTTTAACGTTCCTTACAAATTCCGTTCATTTCCGTTTACGAAGAAATAGTTTTAGTTAAAAATATATGAGTAAAACAAATTTAATTGGTGGACCTTTGAAAATCGGATAACTGATGCCCGGCAGGAGACGGGCTTATACGCAAGTTTATTATATTTGAGTAGCAATAATGTGAACCGGAATCTCGAAAGCCACTAAAAGAATTGATTTTGTTAAGATTTGCAGTTTGCAAACATGATTTTTGTGAATGTAAGGGTACCAATAATTTGATACTCCATTTACGGGGTAATGTGACACTAGAAATTTTCATCCAAAAGTTATTTTTTGAAATTTATTTGTCAAATTTCCAAAAACGTTCGATTCGGATTGTAGAGAAAAAAAGCGACTTTGGGCCCCTCCCACTAGGGCCGGAGTTGGACCAAATTATTGGAACCGTTTAACTCACAAAAATCACTTCCCCAAACTGTGCAAATCGTAACAAAATCAATTTTTGTATGTATTTCGAAATTCCGGTTTATGTACATTATTGGCGCTCATTTTAAAGTTGTCCTGCTCCCGATACTTAAATATTAGTTGGATTGGCCCTATTGCGGTCAGCCTGTTTGAGCGGAAGGCAGACAGGGCAGTCTGATCGCGTACAATGTTTCCAATGCGATATGATTTGCCGAGAAGACCAACAGTGAGTGACCGGGCAAGATTTTCCGGCCTGGCAGTTAGTCAAGTGCGCCAATACGTTCTTCATGGTCCCACAATGCGGAAGGGTACACTGGAAAACATGTAAATAAACGAATCCATGTCAAATTGACCCCGTCAGATTTCCCCGCGACAGATTTCCCCGGTCATATTGACCCCGCGACAGACTGACCCCACGCCATATTGACCCCGCGACAGATTGACCCCACGTCATATTGACCCCGCGACAGATGGACCCCACGCCATATTGACCCCGCGACAGATTGACCCACGGTAACTATTAGTTAATACACACATACATACGATAGTGGAAAATGTCCCATGGACATTTTCCACTAGCGTACCATACGCAATTAACCCTTTCTTCCAAAATTTTACACTTACATTTACGCCATCTCATATAGTGTTAGTTTAATGGATTAGATGAATCGACATGTTCAATCATAATTTTTTTGATAAATTTGACAAAAGATTTCATCTTTTTAAAGCAATTTCTAAAAATCGGTATGGGTCACCCCATAGGGTCGCTCCAGATAAAAATTTTACCAATTTACTTTCATATTCTTCCAATGGGACCTATAAGAAACATCTCTACCAAAGTTCAGTTTGATATGATGATTTTTGAAAAATCAGTATGGGTCACCCCATAGGGTCCCTCAAGATAACAATTTTTCCAACTTGAATGAGTTTTTTGTGCATTATAAGCCATTAGCAACCTCTGTACTAAATTTCAGCTCTCCACGACAACTTTGAAGTTTTGGTGCATAATACCCCACCCACTCCGATGACCCCCACCGGTCAACCACGGGACCAATTTCGCCCATCTTCGAACTCGTTTCCTAACTTTGCCCAATATGCATATGGTAAAAATTTCAAGTCAATTGGTTAAGCCGTTTTGGCTCTATCGTGCCGGACAGACAGACGGACGGACATGACGGTTCCATAAGCCCTGACTCGGGCTAAAAATATAACAATTTGTCAACAAAATTATGATTGGACATGCGTATTAACTATTTATTTGTGTATTAACTAATAGTTGCCGGGGGTCAATCTGTCGCGGGGTCAATATGACTTGGGGTCAATCTGTCGCGGGGTCAATATGGCGTGGGGTCAATCTGTCGTGGGGTCAATATGGCGTGGGGTCAATCTGTCGTGGGGTCAATCTGTCGCGGGGTCAATATGACCGGGGAAATCTGTCGCGGGGAAATCTGACGGGGTCAATTTGACGCCCTACCAAATAAACCGTTGTAATGTAAAACGTAGCTCGCCCCGTAATACTTATTGTTAGATAAGTGACACGGACACCATAAGGTGATACATATTGGGTTAAATTTAACGCATCACTTATTAAGCTGAAATTTGCCACTTGATAAGATGGAACCTCCTACCGGCTGAATTTTGCCCTACTTATGATTTCCGAACCACTTAATTAGCTAGTGGTTGATACATAATTAGATTAGGGCCCACTTAAACTAAAGTATTCGAAAATTTCGTCCAAGGTACATGCAATATTTTATTATTGATAAAAGCATTCATGGAAAATCAAATTAAAACCAAATATTACATAACAATGAAAGCTTTTCGAGCTCTATTCGAGCTCGAGGGGGAACTCGAATTGAACTACGAGTCTCAATATTCTCCATTAAGCTGGGACCTAGACGGATTAAGCTTAGAACCTGCCCCTTATGCTCAACAGGCCAGGACTCTACGGTGGACCACCTACTTTTTATCTGCTCTACAACAAACTCCATAGTCCAAAAGTATTTGTCTAAATTCAACATTACGTTATCAACTTCCTTTCACACTCCTTTCACACACCTTTCACACACTATGACAAGAACTATTGCAATGTATGAATAGAATTTCATAAACACATATTAATAACCTTTGTAAACTTTTCAAACTTTTCGATCTTTGCGAGTATTTTTCTGACGTATTTTAAATAAATATAATCTCATAATTATTTGTCAACATGATGAGGGCCAAAGGCCATATATCATTTAATAAATTGATTGATTGATTGAGTCCAATCGGCAAGACTGAATTTCATCATCCACAATCTTGCGACAGCTGTGTCAAATGATCTCCAGGAAAATACATAATCCTTTAGTAGTTGTTGACCAGAAGCAGAAATAAAATAAACTCGAACATTGTTGTCCTCCACATCTTTTGGGAATCTACTGCTAGGCTGGGATTGTACCCAATAACCGGGACCAGCAATAAGATCGCTTATAATTGTGACCAAAGCTTGCTAAAGTCCTTTTATAATGGCTTCAGAAGCGTCAGAAATCAAGATAACTTCTGTGACAGCTTCGGCAGTATGGTGAAATTCACGATTCTTGTATGACTCAACTTTTGTAATTAAGACCGAATTATCTATGAGTTGTTAACTCCTCTCCTCCAAATTTCTATGATTTGATTCTTAGGATTTGCGTCAAAACCTTTACAAATCAAATACAATTCGCACAAAGGTCATACAGTTTTGTACAGACACATACACGGTCATACAGAGAGTCTTAATTAATAAGTGTATCTTTACCAGTTTTGACATTATGGTCATACTCGCCAACGGTTCTATGGAGTTCCACTATTAGCGATTCAAAATTATTAATTATATTATCGCTTTCAAAAGTAATCGTCGTTTTGCAATACAAGTTTTCGAATTGGAACAGAGATAGCGTATAATTATTCCTTGATAAATCCATTCCTTAGACGTTTCAGAAATGCTTCAGCTTCAAACCGATTTTCAAAATTTCTTCCGCAGACTCGAAACGTTCACTTTCATTGTCTCAATTTAAAACTTGAGCATAAGCCATTTTTTAGTATGCAATAAATATATAAAATCCGAGCTGATATACTTACAACTGCGGTCGAAAAATTATGCAGCAAAGAGTATTATTGGGTGGTTTGTAAATGTAAGTGAAGGTGCCGACAGTCAAAACATTCGTGGCAATCTCATAATATACTTAAGATATGTATATTTTGCTTCAAGTGGGGATTAATCTAATTAAGTGTCAACCACTAGCTAATTAAGTGGTTCGGAAATCATAAGTAGGGCAAAATTCAGCCGGTGGGAGGTTTCATCTTATCAAGTGGCAAATTTCAGCTTAATAAGTGGGGCGTTAAATTTAACCCGTACATATTCTGTATGCATTGGTGCAAAATAAACGGACAAAATAGATTCGTAAGTTGTATGGAATTTTGCACCAAAGGTGGAAAATAAGCAAAGGGGAAAATACACCCATAAATTCGACATAATTTCGACTTTCTCGGCACCCGCGGGCAAAGTATTTCTGCCGTTTCTTCTGCACTTTTCGTGCGTATGGAGCCAATTACTTCAATTGGTTGTCACCACTTTGTTATAGCTAGTTCGATTCGAATGGCGCTATTAATTTCCTAAAAAATGGACATGGTCCTATTTAAATAGGATCAATTGATGCAAAAAACTGATTAACAGACAGACGGGCAGACAGACAGAGGGACAAGAAAAATTCAATAGGTGTCGTTGTACGCAGGACGAGCTAATAATACATAAATCATTTATCTTACTTCTCCACAACTTGGAACTTCACTTTCCCGTTTCTGACACTTGTGTGCATGCAGGAGCAGGATAAGTTGTTGTTGGATGAGTCTTCGCTTTTCCGGATCTAAATTTGACGGTGGTGGAGCCTTTAGTTGATTATTGGCTGGCAAAACATTGTTGACAGGATGTCCCTGAACGACTTGATTCGAGCCATGAGCGTTGACCCCAGTTTGCATCATAGGAATACCATTGTTGACCGTGCTCGCAACACCGCTATCCATGTCATCCCGGACGTTCAGGGATTCCAGCAGGCCTGACAAATCTGCAGAATTTCTTTCATCGCTAAAAGGAACAATTTTCAATGAATTACTGGATTTTATGCAGTCAATAACAATCAGCTAATCAAGTAATTAATTAGTTACGTAAATGAATAGTATAACTTAAACGTTTTCAAATTACCAATACTGGATTCGTTTAGGATCACGCACTTCTTCAGCGTCCATAATTCTGAAATTTATGGAATTGCTCAATGCTCATTTGCCTCAGAATTACAAAGGTTGCAACCATCCATGCTCACATTCATTCATTTAATGATGACTGAACAAATTATTCAGTCAATATTCAAAAATTGAATGAATATTGAATGAATATTTTATTCCGATTTGCTAATAAATGAATATTGAATCAATCTATTCAATTCGTGTGAATGAATAATGAATAAATATTTGTTCATCTTTCATTTTTTGCTCAATACATTGTGAAAGTTGAAAATTCATCTAATGCTGTTAATTTTGAATAAAATGAATAATGAATCAATGTAGAATAATTAATGAATATTTTTTTATACAAATTATGAATGAGTAAATAACGAATGCATATTTTTTCAAAGCTTTGGATGAATGAACTTTGAATGAATACATATTTTTTGAACATGTATGGTTGCAAATTGCAATACATAATACCGAGACAGAATTTAAATTATTGCTACTTTTGCACATACCTTGTAGGAATTTTGAATGAATTTAATATTGTTAAAAAATGTGTTACGCAATTAATTAACTATCCAATACTTAAGTCAGCACGTGCTGATGGTAATGAGTCACAATTTGTCAACTTTATTTTGCACACAAGTTCTTATATTTTCAATTTAAAGAAATGTGTGATTTGATTGTCTGCTCTGGTGCGAGGTTAGTTTGTAACTGAGGTGTTTGGTTAATAAAGACATTAAATTTAACCAATATGTATATATAAATACATAAATGTGGTTAGGCATCAAGGGTGCTTTGAATGCATTGATGTATGTATTTGTATATTTCCAGGAATAATAATTTCTCTCTAAATGCATACAATAAATTAGGGAGCATTAACCGAGTGTCCCCATCTTTCCAGGTACACGTGACCTGTCTACCTTGTGCAGGACCAAAAGGTCTGCTTCTAAATTTATCTTGCGTTCTGCAGACTAATGACCTCTCTCTTTTTAGAGAAAAACAATAATAATAGTAAACCTTGTAACAGGTAAAAATAGTTCAAACCGGTTTTTGACAGCTGAAAATAATTTTTGTGAGAAAAGCTAAAAATAAACTGTTAAACGCATGTAACGAAGGGGTAAAACCAGTGTGTCAGCGGACTAGTGAGTTGACCATATTTGGCAATATTTATTTATTTTAATATTTAAGCTACCCACTGTGCGCTAAACTCTATTCAGCCAGTATAATTTAATAACATATACATAAGAAAACGGGTATAATACATCTATACTAAAATGTTTTAAACAATTAGTCCAGAAGCAATGAAAGACATGAATTATTTATTTATCTATTTCATACTAAAAATAAAACATGTATGCCAAATTTTCAGATCTTCGTGCCTTTATTGTCATATAAGTGATGTTTATTTAAAAAAAACTGAAACAACTCCATCCCAGATTTTGTATATGATTTTTCTAAAAATGCAATAATCCAACCCCAATATTCTCGAACAACGAAATGGTTTGATATCTAGCTCGTTAATCTCTTTCATCCAGTATGTTAGTAAAAAAAGTCATGTTATGAAAGTAGTTTCGAAACGATTTCGTGATAAAGAAATATCAAAATCTAAAACCCATATTCGTGGTTTTTAGTGAAGGCAAGTATTTACCTGAATTGAATTTGACTGCCTTCCGTTTTTGGGCCACAGGCCCATAAAGATATTCATGAAATATTGTACAGCATTCGTGATTCGCGTTTTTCCATAAAAAACATTCATAAATAAAGACAGACATGTCCGTACCATAAAATTCATAAAATTTATTAGATAAGCAAATAGCAATTCCATTCATTCTATGTACATCAAGTGTGCCTGACAGATATGGAATTTAACTAACAAGGGAACATACCGAGGTGTCCAACGAGTTGAGGGACGAGACCTGCACCAAAATGACCACAAGACATGAGTTATTCAACGAACTGAAGGAACTTCCGTGCAGAATTCACTTTTCGTCACGTTGTGAAGATATTTGTGACGAGCGTATGACCGGGTGGATCTTCAAGCTAGATCCAACTGTCGATATGACGACTCAATCATGATTTACAATTGGTCCGATGGCCGTTATGTTCTCGTGACAGTGTAAGGTTTTTTTATACCCTTCAAGACCCAAATTCATTGTATTTTTACAGTTGCAGATTTTGTGGGAATACAATTCCATCCAGTGTAACATTCCAGGATGGTGCTGGTCTCGTGCTCTTTCAGTCGGATTTTATCAATGCTGGGACCGGTTTCGAGTTTCAATATGAGTAACGTGTTGAATAAAAAAAATGATCAGTACATTATTCTAATACTTTTGTATTTGCATGTTACGTACATAGGCTATACTAATATTTAAAATTGTACTTATTCATGATTAATAAATTAAAATTTGTTACGTCCAAAAATAAAATTTACGAAAAGTTGATGGATTTTTGTCCTGAATTTTACGCCAACCGAAGTAAAACTCTAATTTTACGGTTTCCAGCACGAATTCAATGGAGCTAAAAAAAACTTTCGCATTATTTTCCCAGACGGCAAATTTTTCATCCAGTGTTACGAAACTCCCGTGGATTTTCCCAGATTTGGAGAATTCGCCTGTAAATACATGTAAGCCCCAAGTTACGCCCCCACCTTGGCAAAGTTGCTCAAATACACGAACGCTTCTGGATTTGAGTTGGCTGAGTTGCATTTCTTCACGTCGCACGTGGCCAAGTCGGTCTCCACAGTCGTCGGGAACAAAGAATCCTGAAGCAGGTGTTTAATTATTTATCTCAACTTACATATTTAATTATCGTGGTTTCGCCAAATCGGAGCGAGACCGCTGGCGTCATCGCATTGTAAGTATGTATAATTTAAGTCGGTGGTACTGGTACCCATAAACATGTAGTTTCCAATCTCTAGACGGGTGTCCATCATCAACTACGGGATATATCGCGAATATAAATAAATTATATATGTAGGATTCACAAGTGAGCTAAAATTGCGACCGTAAAGGACATGGAAAAGTTATAAAAATTGAAAATACAAGCAAGTCGGCAGTTTGGATCTTAATTGAGAAGAGATTAGCAATTCAACTTAGCATTTAACCAAACTATTCAACGAAAATTATCGTCCAAAATAATGCAACACTATTTCATCTTCGCCTTCGTCCTCAGTGGCGGCCTTCTCATTGCTCTAAGTAAAAAACTATCTTGCAATCGATTTTAGTTTCCATTAAGGATTTTGACTTAGTTCCTAAATTTTGAACTTTTGACTTCAGTAAAGCTTAACCCTTATTTAAGATTTATGAAGGTGAGAATACCTAACCTATCGACGGAAAAAACACAAATGATATATTACTAAATAAAATGTAATCTGATTTTTCGTCTTCAATCTAGCGTCACGGTTTTTAATTGTTTTGTGTTAATTATCTAAGCCCCCTAACGGTTCATCGATTTGGCGTGTGCCCGAATTTGCTGGGCCAAATCCACCCACAAACTATAACGATAACCAATTATATTGCGGTGGAGCTCACCAAAGATGAACCAAATGTTCCACAAAACCCGTTCTCATATTTCGCAGGAGAAGGTGATACAGAGTGTATCTCTTCATGAAAATGCAAAAATTGAGATGCTATTTTATGAATTTCCATGATTTCCATTTATCTGATTACATATTGAATATGGAATTGTACACTATGTGAGATAGCAGCATGACGAGAATAGGTATAACTCGAATGGCTTTATTTTACCGCATAATTGATATTTATTTGTCAGTTTATTTTGCCCTTTCGCCCCAATTAAACTTAAAGCACCACTAATTTATTAATTACAACGAATAAGCTGGTTTCGGACAAATAGCATCAATCAAATATATTACAATTTGATTTATCCCGTGCCAGGTAAGTGTATGCCGCATTATGCATGACAGAGGAGCCCCATAAAACTTGTAGGACGATTTACTGGGTACATTTGAAACTTAAATATTCTTAAAGAAAAAATGTTTTGCGAGATTTGCACGAGACTTGTTTGCTTAAGTTGAACTAATTATACGGATACTTAAACCAGTTCAAGTAAGTAAATAAGTTTATTTCCTTGAGCAATGCAACGTAATCCGGCGAAAGAACGTGCATAGTGCATGCATGTAACACTAACGGTTATATTTGTCAATTTAACCACACTCTTAAAAATATTAATACCCTTATTGATTGATTTATTTATTGATTGATTTATTCATCAGACCCCTTTCGGCCATAATTGCCCATAGAAGTACATACAAGATATTTATACAGTGACATTGAGATACCCTTGTTTATGGTAATTGCTCTCGATTATACGTTAATAGAGAGTGGCTTAAATTAGGCGTACATTATTAAGTACATATGTATCCGGAAACAAACTCACAATGGAGGTCTCCCAACGTATACTCACAGATTTGGATCAAACTAGCGTCAATCGATCACAAATATAATTAGTATGAAATTTGCAAATGGAACTATCTGCCAATGAGCAAGTTTGGCGGAGATATTTGCATAAAAAGAGGAGAAAACGCACCCCCAAGGCTGGCAAATTTTTCATTTTCCAAATTTACTGCGCATTTATCCCGCTTTGGATGCAAATATCTCTGCCAAGCCTGCTCATTGACAAATAGTTCCATTTGCAAATTTCATGCTAATTATATTTGTGATTGATTGACGCTAGTTTGGTTCAAATTTGTGAGCATATGTACGTTGGGAGACCTCCATTGTTAGTCCATATTAACCTTAACTTGAAAATGAATAAAATTAACGCATTAATTCGTGCGGTAAGTTTCGACTTTGCATAGGCAACTTATAATTCAGAGGGTGTTTATTTACGTTGGAAAAAGTAGCCTTATTTTTAAGAGTGTAGTGCATAAATACGAGGATCTCATACCGCATCACAATTTTACATATTGGGTGACATTCTTGGTGCACACCGTCCCCCATTGTATTTCATTCTGGGCCTTTATTGTTTTGGTTTTTATCGTTTTTTAAACAAGTCGTAAAACATTGCGTGGATTGAATAGAGGCCAAATTTCTTTCACTCAGCTCAGAAATATGTTCAGCTTAAAGTGAAAAATTTATTTTATCTTAAATATTTTAGTTATTTAATTTCGTCGTCCAGAAATTTACTACAAGGCTTCATCTTAAAAGGTCACAAGTTTCAGATTAGTTAGAAATTATGAAAAATTTGTATGTAATATACCAACCCGTTCGGATTATGGAACGGTGACGTGGCATGCCAACGTGGCACACACTCCCGTCACAATTCAGTGACGTGGAGGAGGAAGGTCATGTAAGTATTTTTTAAGAATGTACATACTTATACGGACACACATAGGTACATAAATAGCAAATGCAGAAATATATACGAAATTTGTGTGATTTATTTTGTTCAGAATTGAGTAAGACATTTACAGTCTAAATATAAACAAAATTTGCTTAAGGTTGAGTAAAAAGGATGATAGCCTAACCATGGCAAATTTATCCAAATTTGTGTAAAATTTGTCCAAATTCTTGTAAAACTTTTTTCCAACGTGTGGATAAATTTTTAAATTGTTGATTGCGTCATCCTTTCTCTTACTCACGACGACAAAGTTTTACAAATTTTTAATTAAAATGTGATAACTATTCGGTTTATATCGCCACAAGTCTTAATAATGAATTTAACATAAATATCCGTAAAAATATTGACAAGTGAAGTACAATTTTACATCTTTTTCCACTACAACATTCTCGTACATATGTTGATATTAATAATTTAAAATACATCACAAAGAAATTTGAAAAAAATGGCAGAAAAATAAGGAAAAAAGTAATATCACAAGGAACAAAAATGAGACGGACCCTGCAGCGCTTTCATTTCCAGCTACCTATACATATTTGCGAATGCAGAATGTGACATTAAATAAAATTGACATCATAAATTTTAAATTTTAGTTTTGAGATTATAAACTTTATTGCTGTCTTGACCTGAAAAGCTGTGTATAACTCCTGATTTGCGACACACGAATAAACTACGGTAAACTAACAATTAAATTGATCACGACTAGCTTTTAATTGCACCGTTTTGATTTCACAATTTTTGAAAAATTGCTGTTGTTTTGCTTAAAGGGGCCGTTCGTTAGGCAAGCGTCGACGTACGGAAGAGTGCCATCTTCCCATGCAAATTCGAAACTATATCAATACGTAAGAATTTTTATACTTGAACAAATATGTAATTCGAGTAAGAAAAATTCGAAAATAATTAAAACAACGTATTTATCAACTTTTGCTGGGTGTAGGAAACGAATCTTCATTCCATAGACGAGCATGATTTCGCTAATTTTGGAAAGGTTTCAAAAGATAAAGGTACAGTAAAATAAGCCATGTTTTTGTTAAGGGTTTCCGACAATGGATTAACTTTTGTGCATGATAAATATTTAGATTCCGGTTCAGATGAAATATTCCCAATCAACAGATTCGACTTCCAACTTGACACCGAAAATTTCTCAAAATTCTTACCGGCTGGCTTTCATCTTCCCGTTTCTTCATCCCGTGAAGTCGAGATTAAGTTAAGATGTCAAGACTTAAGTATACTTTTAAATAGTAAAGAGCAAGTTATACATAAATAAATAAGTAGGATTATTTACATATATGTATAAATAGTTTAAATTTTAGCTTTCCAAGTTAATTTGATGGTTACTATGTACCACAAATAATTACATGCTTCGACTCATTTATGCAATTACTCAAATTTGACACCAGAACAAATACTTAACTAAAGACATATTTAACACAGTTCCTCAATGCCACATAAATTTCGTGAGAATTTCATCAATTTTAATGTCAAGACAGTTTGTATCTGTTTTGGCTGTTTCAGCTCAATTAGAAATTGAAAAATAGATAAAACGAATGAGGGAATGTCCATATACTCTGTTATGACAAAAACCAGATAATTCGATCCTACCTTTCCTATCCTTTTCATGTTAAGCTTAACGCGAGTAAGACACAGTCCGAAAGGACACAACCGCCTTTATGCAAGGTAATGTATATATGGACTTCCCTTTTAGCAGTATTATAGTCATCGCTGGAATTAAATTTCCAGACACTTTGGAAATTTTCAAACGAATTAATCTACACTTAAATATTTAGGAAAAAATTCTCGGTGACCTCTAAATTATTAATCAATTCTATTAATCCTTCAACGATTAATTAATTATAGGTAGCATTGTCCCGCATGTAATGAGTCAATGTTAAGATTTTTATGAAATACTTTATTTTTACGAAATAATTTAGCGTTATGTAACTCGGGAATTTGGGAAAGTTCCTGCATCATATTTTCTTATAGTCCCAACTCATAATTCCCTTCAAGACCTTTTTTAAATCCTTAAATTTCTGTAGTTTTCAAGTGTGCACGTAACATTGCTCATCTGAAAAATATTTTAGTGTCTATTTCTTAATCAAGAACTTTGAGTCTTCGTGAGTCCAAGATTTTAGATATTCTTCGCCCAGCTAGTCAAATTTTGCCTTAAAAAGATTTCACTTCGTTCGTATGTAGGCACAGGAGCTGAAATGTTGCAAGAAATTTCTATTTTTCCATCCTCCGTTAGCAAAAAACACTTTTTGCATGTCTTACATTTTGAAATGCCTACACCATTTCAAAACGGTTGCAAAAAATTGCAAAAACAACAATTGCAAAAAAACATTGTAAAACTTTACGTGGAATAGTTTATAATTTTCTCATTTTTCTCCTCACAACTTATGATGGCACATTTGATACAATGCAATAGGGGTAATGGGAACTTGTAGTGTAGATGAATCCACTCACTGGAAATTTATGATATGTACATGAATTCAGCGCATAATTGATTTATATCTCGTTATATGTAAGTAATAGGATACTTGATTTCGTTAACTTGTTCAAGGAGATGAGCGAATCTTCGTAAGCGTAAGATAAATAGGCTTCACATTGATCTTCAGTTTAAGTAGCAGCTCCAGAAGCAACATTGATGTGTCGCATGCTTTGGACTGAAGTTTCTCGATAATTTCGTCCACCGTCATGGCTCTAATAAGCCCACGAGGATGGGTTCGAAGTACCATAGAAAGATTGTTAATTTTAGTTTGAAATATTCATCCAGTTAGCACAATCTTACTTTCTACCTATGTAGTCAGTGGAGAGAGGAAAGTATAAATTAATTGGGCTGATTAATTACGCATGTAAAGGCGTACTGTTACCTGGACAAAATTGTCCTAGAATTTATCAATTCTGATTAGCTGCTTAATCCCCAGTTTTTAAAAATTTGGTAAGCTAGCAAACGTTCATTGTCGAACAAAATGGTTAGTAATGGCAATATATAAGTTGAGTTGAATACTTCAAGGTTTGTTAAACTGTCAAATTCTATTTACATATACATATTAATACGTACAATACAATGACACTAACAAGGGACACTCACGACCTGTCGTTTGAGTCCAGGGTACCCACTATGTTTTTCAGAATCTACTAGGACCCCAGATGAAGGATCCATTCATATTTCCGTGTAAAACTCATATTTGGCGCCATGGCGTGGCGCCAAACTTAAAAATTTGCATTTTCGACCAATTTCAAACCCCCATAACTTTTGCAGTTTATGTCGGATTTTTAAAATTTTATGCTTAAAATGATCAGAAAAGTCGAAATTTTAGAGAAAAAAATAAAAATAAAAAAATTTTAATTTTTGAGATATTTTTAGCATTTTTTCGACGAACCCGAAATTTCGAAATTTTGGGAAAAGTTAAAAGCGACAATTTTGGAAAAAATTTCATAGAATACGAAAGTTGAACTCCTTGTCATGATTTTTGCCAAAAATTTTGAAAATCCGTCCAGGATTTCAAAAGTTACGGCGGTTTTAAAATGAAAAACCATCAAATTTGGCGAATTTGGCGCCACGCCATGGCGCCAAATATGAGTTTTACACAGAAATATGAATGAATCCTTCATCTGGGGTCCTAGTAGATTCTAAAAAACATAGTTGGTACCCTAGACTCAAACGACAGGTCGTGAGTGTCCCTTGTAAGTGTCACACGGATTTACATATAACGTAATCGTTGAGTGCGTCGAATTTATCTATGTGCAGACAGGCGGCCAAGCAGGTCAGTCGGCAGGGATGAAGCTATTTAAATGTAATAATTAGTAATAACGTTGGTGCATATCTCTTAAGTTCATAGGCGGACAATTTTTGATAAGTATTGCTATGGTAGATATGCACTCAAAACAAAACGGTGTCAATATATCTATGACTTAACCGCCTTGGTTACAATTGTGATTCCACTCATATATCACGACAAACAAAAAATTGTCACAAAAATCCTTCCTCAGCAACTGCGATACTCACTTCCTACACCATATTTAGGGTGCAGCGTTATCCAAAATCAGTTGGTTTTCATAAACGAAAATTTATAAAAATGCGTGAATTAAAGATAACAGTAATATGGGCATTTATTATATATAACGTATATCACAGGGACGTTTAAATTGGTTTTGTTCTCTAAAAACCTCAAGATGTCAAACCGTTCTTGAATTTTTTTTGTGACATATGTACTTGTCACAAAAATAGCTACTGTAACTTGAAAAAAATTCTGTTAAATTCCTTGTTTTATTTCCAATTCCAAAAATCATCGACTCTGCTAGGCTATAAAATGATTCCAACATCCATCCGACGAGGTGTTGTATTCAATTAAACTTGAGATGAGGAAGACTTAAGGTCGGTCAAAAACTGCTTGGTCAATAAAGATGTGTGGTTGATACATATTGCACTCTGTTGTGTTTGGACGTGTATGGACACTCGTCTGCTTTTTTATTCGTTTGGCACATATTTTTATGGTAATTTACAACTCATTTATAGGTGGGTATAAAAATTAAAAATGCAAAACTCTTCCTATTCCATTACATACAACCACTTTTGCATATCTTCCACACTTGCTGTACTGGATTTAAGCATCTTTACTTAATTTAGTTAGAGCCTATTAGCCATACTAACCAATGCCATGAAATTACATCAATATTCTCGTATTATTTTGATTAATGATCATGAAAGAATCATTTTATCGCGTATTTTTATCTCAAAGGCAACAACAACGTCTGCGCTCAAAGTTCACAAATTCCTAGCTAAACAGCAAGACAAGGAAAACCATAATGTAGGTAATCGTTTTACCCTTAAGGAGAAAAATTGGCCGTGACGAGACGTTGAAAAATGGATTTAATATCATATCTAAAACTAGATTCTGGAAATGTTTCGTTCCTAATTAAATGAACATTAATGATAATTTTTATACATATGTAGGTAGCAAGTCCATAATTAGGTCGATGACATTGCCACAGATTTTGTTCATATCTTGTTCAGCTTACCCATCAATTATGTGCTTGTATCATAAGTTTGATCATTGATTGATGTAGTTTGGGTGGAGTTCCGATGTGATAAATTAAGAAAGGTGAACAGTTCTGAACAAGCGAACGATGAGAACTTGTGTCATTCGTTATGCACAGATCTTACAATGGAGAGGTGTCAGGTGGTTATCGCCAATATGGACGGGACTAATTTTAAATTGTTCAGGACCAAAAATAAGCCCACCCGTATTTTTTCGTGTTCCTGAATGGGCATATTTATGCCCGTGGCGGAATTTTCAAACAAAATTCAGCCAAAATCCTGATTTTTAAAAACGCTGTAACTTTTCGAATTTTAGCCCGATTTCAAAAATTGAATACAATTTGTGTTCAGAATTACTTCCTTGAAAATATAAAAATTAATTTTCAAAAAATGTTTAATATTTTCATGCCATTTCTGAGTTTTTAGAAATGAAAAAAAACGATAATTTTTTGAAAATTAAAAACTTTTTGAAAATGAATTTTTATATTTTCAGGGAATCAATTCTGAGCACAAATTGTATTCAATTTTTGAAATCGGGCTCAAATTCGAAAAGTTACAGCGTTTTAAAAAATCAGGATATTGGCTGAATTTTTTTGAAAATTCCGCCACGGGCGTAAATATGCCCATTCAGGAACACGAAAAAATACGGGTGGGCTTATTTCTGGGCCTGAATAATTTAAAATTAGTCCCGTCCACATTGGCGATAACCACCTGACACCTCCTCATTGTTAGGTTGATGTTACATAGGACTTGGAGCTTATGTAAGTATGCAGGGCGATCGCTAACCATACTTTTTCGATAATTTAATGCTTTTTAAGAAGAGAAGATTATGGTTTTGCACTTGCGCATTTGTAAATACGCAGGAGGGACATTCCCTTGAAATTTTAACTCCGTCAAGGAATCTTTTTTCTACACCGAAGTTTATAGCTTTGCTAGTCAAATTTATTGCTAGTGAGTACGGCGGTTTCGGATGTCAGACTTTCTTACGTGGTAAATACGTATGAATTGTTCGCACACTTGAATTTCTTTCTATGCATATCACGATAAATGGTGTGCAATTTTAGTTTGTCACAGTAGGAACATGTACCGAGCGCATTTTCAAGTGATTTCAAAAAGTGATTCAAGTTGGTTACAAATTTTCTTGATGGTGATTATATATATTCCATATTTTCTAGATATCCAAATAATAAATTGATACGTATTTTACGTATAAAAAAGAAATATTTCCGAAATTGTATGCAGGGAAATATTAA